ACAATAAAATTATAAAGAATCAAAATAACTAGGAAATATATTGGATGAGATCTTCTACATGTTGTTCTGTTTGTATGTTGAAAAATGACACATTTGTTCAAATGGAAATAGATTATCCGTCTTTTTGAACTCTTATAGATACACAAACAAATGTTTTTGTCGTATTGTTCATGAATAACAACTTAAGGTCACCTTTATGTTCTATGACCCGTCAAATATCACGTGACAAATCACTAATCAGAGCACCGACTTATATAAACTTGTCCCTGAAATAAATCAGTAATGCGTTAACCAGCATAGAATCAACTGTGAGTCATTACTAGACCTCTGTATAGTAAAAATTTAAACAATAATGTTCGGTAGAACAGTTCCGAAAGTTCAACTTTGCTTAATACTCATCCAGTTTTATTAGAGTAACAACATGAGCTTTAAATCATTTGGATTGTATCTAGCAGTGAAATCTGGCACTCACGTTGCGTCTTACTTGGCATTCGTCAGTTCAGTTCATAATTTAATTCTTTCAAATAGTGAATGAAGACTCACTCCAGAAAAAGTGATATAAATCTATGATCCTATAGGTAAACAATACAATGTAAGGTCAGCTGGCCACACAAATGATCTTGACAATATAACTAGGTTTTTAAGAATATTTCCTCAACTGTCATTTGGATTACTACATCATTTCATTGGTTAGTATATGTTGTTCTTATGCCCTATAAACTATCACGTGACCAAATCGACAATTAGAACACCGGCTTATATGACCTTAACGCTGTGCCAGGTCAATGGAGCGTTAACCAGTACGAACAGCCAACTCTGAATCCATATTGGTTCTTCTCGCCTAGCCCTGTCCGTTTGAGTCCAGAACAAAGTCTCAGTTTCCACTGTATGAATCATGTATTTCAGACATACGCAGTTTATACACAGTCAAATCAGACCACATCATTCCATAAAATAGAAAATAACAATTATACAAGATCAAGCCAAAAGTGGCTGTGAGTGTGAGAGACTGTAACTAATAGATTGAAAATAACTTAAGAATGGTAAATCATATAATAGTAGTCAACAAGTCAAATGGAAGCTTATAACAAAAAAAAATATGGATATACATATGATATAGTTACTTAATAGTTGTATGATGAGAATACATATAATAACAGTCTGTAAATAATTCCTGGCAGTTACCGTTCGCTAATTCTTCGTTCGGATGTAACAGTTACAATCAAAGGTTTAGAGTTAAGGATTTAGGACTATGATATCCGAGTTACAATTCGGATCAGGACTAAGAGTTTCAAGTCAGAATTTCGGGATAGGATTGATTTATGCGCAATAAACAATCCACATAGAAAGAATTGAGCATTTAAATCATTTAACAATATCATTTTCGTTATGTGATAAAAACTAACATAGAGCTATTATTTTAAACATCCGGAAAATTAAACAAACATAATTCTACTCGTTTTATATGATATAAAATAAAGGTTATGCATATTTGAAATTAGCTCAAAAAACCCAAAAGTTGTTTCCTCGGTTTTGATTAGCTCACTTTTATATCAGAATTTAACCGGTTATGGTTTATTATCACGAATACTTAAAGTAACATGGCTGCGATCCCACTAAATCAATTCCTTTAAGGTAGTGAAAAATTCTTTTGTAGCGTCTGCTGTTCCGATCACATTTACATTATTGTCATAGCACCACTTATCAACTTCAGAATTTTTAATGCTATGATTTGAGATTTGATCATTCTCATATCCCTGTTCTCTTCAATTCTCATAAATTGAGTAGCCAGAATCTTCAACTCTTTCAGTTTATTATTGACAACTATATCACTCTCAACTTTAATGAATCTGATAAGCCAGATTGAGAAGTCTAAATGTAGACCGAAACGTCCATCCTAGGTTTTCTGGTTTTCAAAATTGCTCAGCTGAAATCACTTTGTGGCAATAAAAACTGTAATCCCTATTATTCAACCAAATTTAGCTTTATAAACAAAAGTTCATTTGTCCGTGAAATACATTTTGTACAAAACCTCATATAATTCTTGAAAACCATTAAACTATTCAGCTACAACCTAGGACCAGGGACATATATGCATCAGTTCAAGTTGACACACCTCATTAGCAAAAGATGAACACCAAATTTTTGAAAGCAGTTACTTCAATAGTAGTAAAAAAACATTTCATATCGGGATAGAGGGAGAAAGAATTAGTTCGTAAGAAGAAAGGTATGAAGTAATTTTAATCCCACAGTTTAAGGGGAGACAAAGAGTGTATACACCCACGATCGATTCTGAGTCAAGTCACCCAGTCTCTAACTATTATTTACGAGAGTCGCATGAACCCCAACCAGTGGGACTATATGTTAATGGAAATTTTGACTTATAAGAGTTAAATACAATAGTGTTGTAAGTCTTGGCTCTATAACGAAAAGAACTTAAACTCACTTCCTAAAACTTCATCTTTTTATGGTGTGATCCGTTCGAAATGTAGCAAAAAGATAACATAATAGATTCAGACACACATGTGAAGATATTACATCAAAATATCAAGTAAGAATTTCACATTAAAAATAAAACGCATATACAAATTATTTTTTTCAAAATAAATTGAAAACACTCATCTATAAAAGAAATAATTACTAGTAAAGGAGGCTTGTAAAGGTTGTTGAATTAAATTGAATTGAAAATTCAGCATTTTCCACAAATCCCTTGCACAAATAATGATTATATGACCTGGTTAGAGAGGCAATCCCCGGAGTTCTAATGAGAAGCAATAGTCAATGGAGCTCAATCATGTCGTACATGAGACAGTCACCCACTAATCGCATTAAAAGATGGTTACACAATATCATTAGTTGATGTTAATTGTTAATTCAAGAGTAAGTCTGCTTTAGTTTAGGTCATAGATGCATATATTACGTCTTTACAAAGAACACCTGTAAAACCATTGTAGACCAACATTCCGTGTTTCAATTCACTTGGTATTGTTTACTTGAATCTCCCCACTGATGTTTCGGACTGCAATCGACCAGTCTCTTATTGGCATATGTGCATACTGTGCGTATTGCCTCGATATTTGCCTTAATTCACAAGAATTATAAGCAAGGATGGATAGTGGGTAGCAGTGGGATCCAGGACGTGCGTTTCATCCTATTTGAAACTCGTCAGTTGGATGTACCTGCATTTCAGAGTTGATGTTGCTATCATGACTCAGTAGCTAAGCGAGTAACGCGATGGCGTTTGGAGTGAACGATACTGGGTTCGAACTCTAGAGTGAACATCAACTCCGAGATGCAAGCACATCCAGCTGACGAGTCCCAAATAGGACGAAACGCGCGTCCTGGATTCCACCGCTAGCCAATATCCTTCTTTGCTTATATTCCGTGTTTTTTTATCCTAGGACAGTCTTCAGTTTGGGAGACATGATTTCGACAGAGAAAAAGGACGGGGATAAGAAACATATTAACAGCTTGAGGGCTTTAGAAAAATGGACTCTAAAAAGGATTTCTTAAAATACAACCCATTGTTGAAGTATTATAACTGCCTTGGTGAGACAAACTAGATCAACTAATCTATTAACTTGGGATATTATTCAACAAGCACAAATGTTCTTTTTCGTACATTCCAAATAATCATATTTATTTGACTTTCCTTACTTTACATATAAAGTCTTAAGTAAATATATAATTTTTTTAGAAACAGTCGTTCTAGATGTAATGAACATATGCATCACATTTTTAGACCAGCCCCATCGACAGATTATGCTATCAAAACTCATAAAACTCAGTCATTTATAATCAACGTAGACATTCGCACATACCTGAATCGGTTTAAGTTACCATGTTACATTAGCACAGTAAGATAAAATTATCAAGAGAAATGTCGAAATATTGGAGGTAGTCACAGTACCAGTAGTAGTAGAAAACAAAAGACACAGATAAGCTCCCCCCCAAGGTTTCCAATGGTAGCCTAACATTGATCGATTCATGACATCAACGAAACTCAACAATCACCACAAGTCTATACTCACAATAGATAATACGACCCGAGAATGAATTTACGGACTGAGAAAGACAGTCTTTTAAAGCTTAAGATCTAATGAAAAATAATGAGTGAATGCATATGGGCCATTGTGAATGATCAAGTGGTCAACCAACGATAACCATAGTTGTGAGAACTACAACAAAGTAGCCTGAAGCTAACAAAACGACTGTGCAACTGTCAATCGCTTCATAGATTGATGCCACGTGCCGGTTGGGCCACTCCTAGTATAAAAAATGAGAATACCGATGGAGACAATCAGATGTATTCAAACTCAAAAATACAGAATCTCTTGGCAAAATTTGAGAACCATACATTAAATTCTTCATTTGCAAAATGTCAATTGTCTCAGACTTGGCTGTTCATTCGTTTCCATACCAATCACTCTCTGTTCTCGTTGTCTTCCCATATATCTTCTTAACCTTCTGCCGCCAGGCATTTCACTTTCGATTGATGATACATACTACTTATATATGTCGACGCCAGTAGCACACACCACATTAGCTTTCTTCCAATCAACTCTCATAGCAGCAGACATTAAATAGTGGACGCAGTGATTGAATATACGTAATACATATCCCCACCAACTCAATCGATGAGAACTTATTAACTCATCATCTGATTCGGTGTTTTTACCTATAGCCACGTATCTAACTTCAGAAATGTTCAATTGGTAGTCATAACATACACAAGCACCGTTCACAAAGGATATATAGATAAATACTAATAACCCACCGATATATTCTATTTTCATAGTTTAAGTGTAGATGTAGACCAGTCCAGAAGCAAAATTATCTTAAGAATCATGAAATCACTGTGAATTTTGAAACTCCAATTATCCACTAGAATATTAATTTGCTAATCATAAACACAGCCAAGTTATCCTCCTTTACAAAAACGCGATTTATCCCCGTGTGATCCAAGTTGTGTAATTATTAGGCAATTTCTACAGCATATAACGAGTATAAGTGACAAAAACATAGAGGATCTTTAAACTCTGAACGAGTGAGTAGAAGAAACCCTTTTTTAGAAAAACCTAATCACTTAACTTTATCAAGAAATTATGATGTTTCTCCATTGTATCCTATTTAATGAGTTTAAACATAAATCAGTAATATTTCTATGTTACTTTAAATTAAAAAAAGTAGTTCAATCTAAATGTATAAAATAATTAATTCAAAATATCAATATTCCTTTTATAAACGTGTATTTTTTCAAAACTGAGAAAAAAACTGCTTTCATTAAGCTCCATGGTTCAGCAAAAAAGACTTCACTTTTTCTAACGCTTTAGATCGATGTGATATGGAATTTTTTATAGATTTATCCATTTCAGCATAAGTTTGTTCAAAGTTATCCGGTTGAAATATACAATCCCATCCAAAATCACGTGGTCCACGAGGTGAAACAATACAACCTGATGTGATACCAGTGAATAATTGTACTGGTTTTTCGAGGCTATCACAATAAGCAAAAGTGCATACAGCCTCTGCACGATAATCATTGAAGTCAATCAACATACGAGGTAGTCCTAAACAAGATATTTAAAATAAATGAACATAAAATTAGTGGAAATGGCAAGGTGAATTGAGTACACATTTATAATAAGTTAGAAATTAAATTCATGATATTTCTGTGGAAAGGAGTAATCGTATCTACTACAAGCAATGGTAAATAATGAACGAACAGGTAGGGGTGAATGTTAGCGGTCCCTGACTTAAGAGGCGGCCATCAATCTATAGAGTGATTGAGTGTTGGTCTGAACTATTTAGTAAAATCTAGACTTTCTGACTATGGTACACACGATAATCGTAATTTATTACTAGTGACTTAAGGTGACATAGAGCTTACAATAGGCTGCAGTACAGCAGATTCATTCATTTTCTTAACCTCTTCCAAATGTTGAGTTTTACTATGAGAAGTGCCTTAGACAATTAAACGACCAACCCTCTAGCCATTTGATTAAAAATTTGAAAATGAGTCCACCAAGTACGGATTCAGTCACTTGATTTTGAGGGCTAGTGATATTGCTCGGCTGTTCAAGCCGAAGTGAAGGAAGTGATTGTTGGGGATGTTAGATTCCCAGAACTCACTTGGTAAATGCCTTAATTTTGTAATTTTATTTTGGAAAATCAAATTTCCTTGCTTTTGCGTCAAAAGCGCACTTCTCACCTTCATGTCGTATTTCCCACTTGGGAGAATCTTTAACGCTATTGGTCCGTTGTGTATTTTTAGTATGCAATTTTGCAACGATTCCCAAGGACATTCTTATGCTGTATATATACGTTTGATTTGTGTCTATTATTATTCACTCGTGCTTCCGGTTTACGAGATATACTTTTTCCGTTCCAAGCTTGGGCTTCTTCCTCTAGTTAGCGGGGCTGGGATGCATCAAATGGCTAGCTTATCGGTCTACGGTCACAAGTCTTTGTTCCGTTCGCATACCAAGTGAACTCGTAATAGCTTCAAACCTAGCGAAATTTGGCGACAGGGATGAGACTCGAACCCGCGCGGGGAAACCCCAGTGGATCAGCACTTATAACAGTGATGTTCTGACATTTGACTTAGAGGTCGAAGCTTCTTAACTATAATTGCATACACACATAAAAGATTTTCCATGTTAGCTTGTTTGAATATACGAATTAATAGTAAACACTATGTGAGTAATATTACATGAACAAACACGCAGCCATAATAAATATCACAAATATCCTTAATACTCTTTATGAAATACTTTGACCAGTACCAATGATATAAATGATCTGTATGGAGACGAATAATATGGTGACTCTATTATTATTATTACTGTTATTATTATTATTAACGGCTTTATTTAATATTATATTTGTACCATGGATAGCTTATCTGTGGTTTAGAAGTTGACCAATCAAACTCAAACCACTGAGTCGTAAGTTTGAAGCCAACTTTATCTAATTCGATATGAACAACTGGATAGTAGCATTAGCCCACAAAGACAAAGTAAAACTCGATGGTTAATATATAAACCTGTGTTTGACAAATGAGTTGCACTAATTTAAATTGACATTATTGGATAGATTGTCTAACAATGTAGGTTTAAATATCGTAGAAAGGATGAACTGTTTAGAAGTTGTATACACACATTATTCGATGTGTAATTGTAATCAAGTATAAACAAACTTCAGGACTTCTTAGCGATTTACCATTAAATCCCAACACTATTAATGCAGACGGTAAACAACTGTAAAATAACTCATTAATTAAAAATAATACTTTGAGAAGACAAAACGACGATGGGACGCAATGTTAACATACTACTTAACAGATGATTATTTCCAAATCTGTACTCAAAGCCTACAGAATAGTGACTTACTGTCTGAATCAGTTGGCTTTCAACTAGTAGGTCTTACATGGTATGAAAAATAGCTACATAAGACTGGCATCTGTTGGTCCATCACGACTCCCTATCTGAGGACCTAAAAGTGACGGCCAATGACTCAGAACAAAAGCCAAAGACCATCCTAATATGGTTTCCTATTACAGTGTTAATAAAGATAAACTGGACCCTAAAAGATGAGAAAAAATCCGTTCTGGCTGTATCTCTAATTGTACGACCCTTTACTCTTTTATTTCCTCACAACACAACGATCTCATATTTTGATGTTCTATTGTACCGAAATTCATAAATCTTATTAACGAAAATAAGCAGTCGATAGCATGTTTGGACTTCGTTCCATATATTTCAATTAGCGTATATAGTGTGGCTCAGAGATGAGTACATAAATATGTACTTGGCAAATCAGTCAAATATTTGATCAGTTTCCTTGGTCTGATAACCAGAGTATCTTAGCACCCATGAAAATCAACAACAAAGTACCAACATAAAAATGCAGTATATACAGTTTGCAACCAATCACAAAAAATATTAGGTTTATTAACGAAAATGAAACAAAACAATTACCATCAGGACCAACCGCTTTTAAAAACCATTTAATGAAAGGCCCAGGCATTCCATTCAGTGCTTTAAAACAAAGTGCTGTATCTTCGATTAATACAGGTCCATTGATTATTTTAAAAGCAGATAAACATTTTTGTATACTCACTTCTTCGATACTACCTTGAACTTCAGGTAAATCTAGATCAACTGTTTTTACCTATTAAAAAATAATGATATTATCGTACTATGAAATAACCCAAAGTACTTTTCCAGTAAATTCCTCACCAATAATTTTAAGGAATTCAGTCAATTTGTTTGGATTACCAGTTACAAAATTTAACTGACACGACATAAGTCTAAAAAACAAAAATGAAATGCATAAACTAGTGTTTAATGGGTGGGATAATGAATTACTAAAAATATAAATAGAGAATACAATTTTATAACTATCAAAAGTTATTTGACTGAATTAGATCATACCATAGTTCTCATTCTTGACAATCCCATCATCCGATGAGGTCAAATATCTGATCGTAAGAGACTAAACTCCAAGTTAGTTGGAAAATCAAACTAAGTGCTTCACTTTAGCACAAATTAAAAGGTGACTTGTGATATAACAGTTACGATTTTATCAAGTTAATGAGCACCAGAATATCAAGTAATAGGACTTTGAAGAAGAATCATTTGTAAACACTATGAGTGTAACAAGAAACTAGCTAACTAAAGTTTCAATCTGATACATTTGTATTTAAAGTTGGCCGAAAAAATTACTAGAGTTTAGTATTTTACGAGATTAGACACATTTTCTGGTGGCAATAAACGAGGAAACCAAAGCACTTTATGACAATTCGGATGTATTATATGAATGATTCTACATTTGTCGAATACTATTATCAAGTAGATCATTATGTACACTGATCATCATGGCGAGGATATATTTACTGTATCCCGTTAAATAAAACTAAACAATAAATTGACTCATTCATTAGGTTCTTTGGTATGAGCCACACTCTAAGTTTGAAGGTTAATGATGCTACTCAGTTACAGAAACATTAAGCTGCAGCTCTTATTTCATAGAGACAGTTAAATGTTTTAAGATACATCGGACAATCAGCTAAATGGGTACATAGATACTTATGTTATACATGATTCTCGATTGTTTAAAACTATAATATTACATGTAAACGATCAGCCCCAGATCAGTGGTCAAAAGTCAAATGGTTTGAGTACTTTGAATGCCATTGTTTCATAAATAAAGAATGGAATTAACATAAAAACAAATGAGCAGAGGTAAGGTAACCTGTAGGGGTTAAAAGTAACAGCATTTCAAAAAGATAACTTTTCTTTATTGATAACGAGAAACGCTTTCTCATAGGTTGAAAACCATAATTTTTGGTAAATAAAGATAATTCCAGTAATCAGTACCTTGACGAAGAGCTAGTAAAAGACAAAGTTTTTTTACCCTCATTTCAGTACGGATTGACATGATATATATAACCATTAGGTTGTTATAGTCCGAGTATAACCAAGCGAGCCGTTGAGACTTAGTGTCTTAGGCAGAAAACAACCAGAGCCAACAGATGCTATTTCATCAATTTTATTCAGCTGATTGGATGTGATCACGAATTAACAAAATAAAATGAAACGTGGAGCTTTCTTTTTCAATAGGAAGTACTTACTGAATCGCATACCACTCATTACAACGGAAAGTATACTTGGACGCTGATTCTCATTAAGATCAACTCAGCCTGAATTTATTCAGGATAAGCATACAGCGAGCTCCACCTTTAGCCCTTCTAGGGTTACTGACGGTCCAAAACCAGGACATAAAATGAATGTTGGGCATGGGGTCAGAAACCACATCCTGTAAAAAAACGTTGCTAAAAAAGCACTAACCAGAAAAAAACAATTTAGACTATTCAAACTCTGCCCTCGAGAGTTGAAGGATCCTCATTTATAAGAATTATAACGCCTCACGATCAAAGCTAAGATTCTTCAAAAATCACCTGACCGATGCCTCATCTAACAACTCGAGCAACAATTATTATAGGTACATGTTATGTCCGGACAATGTACGAGACTGAAAAGACCAGTCAAATAGCTGAGGAAATAAGGAGATACAACTTGGCGGTTCTCGTTATAAGAAAAACCAATTGGAACCAAGTTGGAAGGTGTTGTTGTACTCTAGTCATTAAGAAGTGCTTCGAACGCACAACGAGTTTCACTGATGCTGTCCAAAGAAGCACGAAAAGCACTTATAGAATTGGAATCTCATGGATCCATAATCATCAATGCATCCTTCAAAACAAAGGAAGGGATCACAACGAATGTTATTCAGTGCTAACCACCCACCAATTATAGCAACAATGACGATAAAGATTAGTTTTGTGGGAGGCTACAATCGATCGTAGAGAAGTGCCCAAGAGAGGACCTGACCATCCTGATGGGAGACCTAAACACTAAGTAATATTTATTTCATTTAAACCCATAAACATTGGTACAAGGAGGCACCAAATACATATGTGCCCCACAAATTCGATTTGCGTGAGGGCTGGAATATTGCCTGGTCGCCCAAACTGAAGCAAAAAGGAACGAGAATAGTGAGAGATTTGCAAATTTATATACCTTAAACGAAATGGTTATAAATGGCACTATATTCCCCCACAAACGCATGCACAAAGCAACATTGGTCTCGCCGGATCATACTACAGAAAACCAAATAGGTCATATTTGCATCACTAAAAATTCAGGTCAGTGAATTCAAGATAGCTCTCAACAACAGGTTCCAAGCCTTACAAGATCTGCTCAAAAAAGAAAACACTATGGGGAACAACTGGAACGGAATCAAAGAACCATTAACTTCAAAGAGCCAGGACGTGTCGGGACACGAGAACCATCATCATAAGAAATGGATTTCTATCGAAACTCTGAACAGGGTTCAAGAAAGGACAGGAAAACAGCAACTACCAACAATCGAACAGCAGAAGAGAAAGCCAATGTGAAGGTTGAATACACAGAAGTAAATAAGCAAGTAAAGAGAAGTAGAGATGACAGGTAGAAATACGTGGAAGAGCTAGCAACGATGGTGGGAAAAGCTACAAGAGAAGGAAATATAAGACAACTATGTAATACGACGAAGAAACTAGCAGAGAGACATAGTAAAACAAAGCCGCCAGTCAAGAACAAAGAAAGAAAGCTGATGACTGAGATTCAAGAGCAGCAAACAGGTGTGTAGAACACTTTGAAGAACTCTTGAATAGACGAGTCCCATTGAACCCACCAGACAAATAAGCTCCTACAGACCTTCACATAGCTTTACTCCATCAACAATAGAAAAAATCAGCATGGCCATTAGACAAATCAAAAGTGAAAAAGCAGATGCAGGACCAGACAACGTACCAGATGAAGCACTGAAGTCAGACAGAAATGTAACTGCGAAGATGCTCCATGCACTATTCAGAGGGGTTTGAAGGGAAGAATAAGTTCCGACAGGCTGGAAAGGATACCTCATCAAGATATCACGGAAAGGATATCTCAGCGAGCGTGAGAACTACAGAGACGTTACGCTACTATCAGTACCAAAACATGTTTTCAACAGTATCGTTGAACCAAATGGAAGATTTATTAGACGCCCAACTTCGAGATGAACAGGCTGGATTCCGTAAGAATCGATCATGAACCGACCAAATTGCGTCTGAAAGTGTGAATAGGAGAACCTTATGGAGCATTCCTACCTGAGATCATCAACATTATACGAAATTCTTATGAGAAACTACAATGCACAGTCGTGTATGGAGGCCAGATGAAATATCAACTCCAGGTGAAGACCCATGTCAGACAAGGCTAATCACTCTCGCTCTTTCTCTTTCTTCTGGTGGTCAACTAGATGAAGTTCTCCGCACTTCAGAGGAAGCACGGAATACAATGAACAGCGTGAATGCAACTAGACGATTTGGACTTCTCAGATGACCTATCTCTTTCATCCCATACACCAACATATACAGATAAATGTAGTCAGTGCAACAGCAGACTCTGAAGCAGTAGGTGTCAACATACATCGAAAGAGGAGCAAGATCCTCAAGTACAACACGGAGAACACCAATCAGACCAGACTTTATGAAGCTCTGGAAGACGTGGAGACTTTCACGTACCTGGGCAGCATCATCGATAAACAAGGAGGCTCTGATGAAAATATAAAGGCACAAATTGGCAAACAAAAACCCAAGGATTCCCACAATTGAAGAATATATGGAACGCACAACAACTGTCAACCAATATGAAAGTCAGAATCTTCAGTACGAACGTCAAGTCAGTTTACTGTACAGAGAGAAAACTTTAAGAACGAATACAACCATTATCAAAAATGTACAGGTATTGATAAACAATATTGCGTAGACAATATTGTCTACGCAAGATACTCAATGTCCGTTGACCGGATGCCATCAGCAACAGCCTACTGTGGGAGAGAACAAACCAACTTCAGACTGAGGAAGGAATTAGGGAAAGATGTTGAAAGTGGATAGGATACACATTGAAGAAATCACTGAACTACATGGTGAGGTGAGCACTAAATTGAACTCCTGAAGGGAGAAGGAAAAGCGGAAAAACAAGGGACACATTGCGTCGCGAATTGGAGGCAAACATCAAAGGAATAAATGGCAACTGGAAACAACTAGGAAGGGTTGCCCAAGACAGAGCTATCATTATTATTTTAACACACAGATATTGGTACAAGGAGGCACCAAGTACATATGCGCCACACAAATCTCATTCAATGTGTGAGGGCTGTGATACTGACCGGGTGCCCAAACCGAAGCAGGTGGTTTTCTTAGGTGGCCACACCCCGAGCCTTTGACCTAAAGGTCTGACGCACAAGGCAGTGGAGCATCGTAAGGAAATGCAGTCCCATGGAAGCCAGTGAACAACAATTGGTTCGTACGCCATTTGTTCCCGCAGGATACTTGAGCCCATGTGCACCATTGGTTTGGAATCCGGTTAAAGCGCCAGACATTCGCTTTTCGTCCTCTCAATTTCGTAAACAAGACCCCCGATACGAGAAGGCAGTGAGTAGGACTTCCCTGGCAGAGGCTGTATACGCGTGGCCATGTGAGAGCATTTCGAGAGGGAGAGCGGGCTCTCCCCACTCTCGGCCATACCAGGGCATTTGGGGGCAGACTACTTGGTTGGGCTCCGTGCGACTATCGTAATCAACGGTTGGAAACTCTAGGTGACATGGCTCAGGATCGATCACAATGGTGTGGATGTATACACCTGATGTCATGTGTTGGCTGGGCCGCCTCCCTTCATTTTCGACTAGGACCTCTACGTTATTACCTCTTTCGGGGATGTCTTTTAACGTCTTTCGGTTACAAATCCATTGAAAATAAGTAACGTATCCACCGTAAGAATCTGGAATATTTTAAACGAGACGTAGAAAAAATTACAACCCAAGCCCCCGACGTTGTGACAAGACTGATAAATGTTGGAAGTTTCATTTAAACGCTGGAGATAATTTCGAGAAATCACAACGGAAAACCCAGAACAGGCCTAGGTTTGAATTTTTTCGAAATTCACCCAGAGTTCCCCAGAAATGGTAGTGTGAGATATCGCACACTTGACACGTGACATTGTCACGCAAAACTACTTAATTTATGGAAAAAGGACAGCCTTTCACTTGTCTTCCACAATATTTTATGCGAGACATAATCCCTCAAGAATTCAGCACTAAATTAACCTTGGAACTATACTGGAATGATAAACACAAAGAACCAGAAGAATTCGAGTAAAGAAGGATGACTACTATGGTAGTAACGCCAAGATAGAGCTGGTCGGAGAATGCAGGTGAGCGCCCTATGTTCCTCCACGAAGGGTAATAGGCTTAATTAATACAGTGTCTTTAGAATTTGATTCTTCAACAGAATCCAGAGTTTTGGATTTAAATCCAAAACTCTGGATTCTGTTGGATTTACTCTCCCAGTGACCGATAATGTGGAGAAACTCAATATACACTCATAAGTTGATCAGTGTGTAGCCTGCAAATACCTTACCGAAAACGGAGTGGAAAAGGTTGTACATTCATTTAGTTGTGGGACACCACTGAGGCAGCACAAGAATCTTAAACGAAGACTAAGTATGTAGACGCGTAGAGTGAACTTATGTGTGACCATAAAAAGCAATTTAGAAGCGTCAATTAATGAGCGACTAACAAGTTTTCTGCATACATAAAAAAGCCAATCCAATAGTTATACAGATGACATAGTCAGACCAGCTGGATACAAAAAGGCGACTATATATAGTCACAACTATAGTAGCATTGCTTGATTATAATCAAGCATAAGTTGACTTAAATTCATTGCTTGCCTGTACAATGACAGCTGACGTAAATCACCAATGAGCTTAATATTATGTCCCAACTAACACCTACTTTCGGTCCCCCTGAAATAACTTAACATTAGATGTTAAGACAGTTTTCTTGGACAGTCTTGAGGCTTTATCATATATTTCCGAGGACTCCTAAATCTTCACATGCTTACCGCTATTTCTATCATGAAAAAAGGCACACTTTCACGTACATGTGAGAAATCTTTCACTGAGAGTTTCACGTGTATTTATATATAGAATAAAGTTTACGGTTGACATGACCACAATATATAGACGAACCAATCAGATTCAAGACATCGAGTCTTGGTATTTAGCGCGAGATCCAAATGGTTCAAATGTAGCACGTACTATTAGCGTTTACTTGCAAGCAGAAGAGATCTGAAACACAACACAACAGTCAGGACCGGTAAATGCCACTGAAGTAAGAACACGGCGTACTGGCACAACAGAGATATATTTAAAAATTGAAAGACGCGGTCCGAGTACAAAAGGGAAGCTCATTACAAAATGGGTGTAGCGGTAAATAAATCCCCAAAATAAATAGCACTAAGTTTTCGACATTGGATGCTGACCATATGTTTTAGTGGACTCATCTAGCTGAAGGCGCTCGGTCAGGCATCTGCACCAGATCACGTGTGGTAACGCCGTGCTCAACATCAACCGCAATCGCTAGCCAGATTAGATCAGAGAATTCCGATATATTGGTCATCGCCAAATATACTCTTCCGATCTCCTCGACTCTGTCTTTTGATTTCTCTGGGCGGGAACGAAATATATTAGAAGGTGTTACTGGTAGAAGCGTTGTCAAACACTGAATACCTGTGACATCATCATTGGTGAGACCGACGTGATCTGGTACACCTAATTGCAACTGTGAGTCTGTTCCTTTTTGGGATTTTTATATATCATTGCCTTATTTTTTTAACTTTTTTAAACATTGTGATTTTTTTTTCGTGTTTTTTCCTGGATATATATATTTTCTCCTTGTTCATTATCGTACTTCATACTTCATCATGACTGAACAGACACCTAAAGTACTCAAGCTTAAGACTTTGTCCCCGCCTTCGTTTCAACTGATGCCTTTCTGGCCCGACAACATCGAAGCCTGGTTTTGCTACGCAGAAGCCGACTTCTCCGAGCACGGCGTGATCGACACACGTGCGCAATTCCTCGCAGTAGTCAAGGCACTACCGCAGGAATTCAACAGGCACGTAACACCTAGTATGTTTACTAGTGATGTTTCCGATCCTTACGAAATCTTAAAACGCTCGATTCTTAAACGAGGAGACCTAACCGATCGACAAAGGTTAGATCAACTCTTCAACAATATCGACCTGCAACACGGTTCTGCGACGGACATGTTGCAACGGATGAGAGAGGTAATAGGCCCAAGAACTTTCGACGAAGGCCTATTCAAACAACTCTTCTTGTCAAAACTTCCCCAACAGGTGCAAGCAGTTCTGGTCTCGTTCCAGAACAACGCCTTAGACGAACTAGCTGCATCTGCCGACCGCATTCTAGAAATTACGAAACCTACAACCGAGGTATTTTCAGTCAAAGAAAAGCCTCACACGACTCAGAATGATTTAACCGACTTATGTCACACACTCACGAGTTATCTTAGTCTTCGTACCGACCGTAAGAGATCGCGGACACCACGTAGAAGCATTTCTCGTAAGCGATCTGTCTCTAGACCACGAGAGACAGATAACCCCGACTGGTGCTGGTATCATAACCAGTATGGAAAGTTTTCCAGAAATTGCAGAAAACCCTGCAATTTTCCCAACACGAAACCGACTGATTCGAAAAGCAATTCGGGAAACTTCCAAGCCGGCACGCGTTAACGGCAACCGTAGCCGGCGAACAAAGCCGTCTGTTATTCGTCACAGATGTGACAACGAGAGTTCGCTACCTCGTCGACACTGGCGCAGAAGTTAGCGTTCTCCCAGCAAATCCTAACGACCGACTACACGAATCGACCCTAAACTTACAGGCGGCAAACGGAAAACCGATCGCTACGTATGGCAAAAGGTACGTTTACCTTAACGTGGGTTTACGCAAACCCATCCACTGGATTTTCGTTGTTGCAGATGTTTCTATGCTAATCATTGGTATGGACCTTCTACAACACCACAATCTGATCATCGACACGCGCAAACGGAGGCTAGTAGACGGAAACACTAATTTGTCCGTTTGCGTAACTTCTTTTACTGGTTGTAGAGTATCCCCAGTCACAGTTAAACATATGATAGACCCACTCTATCAACCACTACTCGATAAGTACCCTGGGATACAACAAACTCAACCGAAACTACCGTGTGTAACCAGCAATGTTACACATCACATTACGACTACAGGACCACCTGTATTCTCTAAAGCACGACGACTAGCTCCTGAAAAGCTAAGGTTAGCGAAAAACGAATTCGATCACATGATGGACTTAGGAATCATACGACCGTCAAGTAGCCCATATGCATCTCCGTTGCACATGGTCCCTAAAAAGGACAGCAACGATTGGCGTCCAACTGGTGACTATCGGCGATTGAACGCGAAAACCATTCCCGATCGTTACCCGTTGCCTCACATTCACGATTTGACAGCTACCTTGAAAGGTACAACTGTCTTTTCGAAAATCGACTTGGTTAAAGCGTATAACCAAATACCTATGGCTACTGATGACATACCGAAAACAGCTATCATAACTCCTTTCGGACTCTGAATTTTTGCGAATGCCTTTCGGTCTAAGGAATGCTGCTCAAACATTCCAAAGATTCATAGACGACGTTTTTCGAGGTCTCAACTTCGTACACGCGTATGTTGATGACTGTTTAATCGCAAGTCCGGACAGAGAAACACATCTCGAGCATCTGGATCTTGTTTTCGAACGACTTCAAAAACATGGCATAACTGTAAACGTCCAGAAATGCCAATTCGGAACCGACTCGTTAGACTTCCTAGGACACACTATCGATGCTCAAGGCATTCGACCTCTTAGGACCAAAGTGGCGGCCATTCTGGATTACCCAGAACCGACCACCGTCAAGCAATTACGCACGTTTAAAGGCCTGGTAAGTTTCTATAGACGTTTCATACCCAAATGCGCATTACTTATGAAACCTCTGACCGACCAACTTCGTGGAAATGCGAAATCCATTAATTTGGACGACACCGCACGAAAAGCATTCTCCACAGTTAAGGAACTGATTGCTAAAGCAACAATGCTCGCACATCAGGACACCCGAGCACCCATTAGCATCGCAGTAGACGCATCCGACTCAGCAATCGGAGGAGTCTTACAACAATGGGTTAACAACTCCTGGCAACCCTTGGCATTTTTCTCTAGAAGGTTGCTAGACACCGAATCGAGGTACAGCACATTCGGTAGGGAACTCCTAGCTATGTATTGTGCTGTACGGCATTTCCAACACTACATCGAAGGTCGTGAATTCACTCTTTTCACGGACCATAAACCGCTCACTTTCTCGTTAAGCTCTCCTTCTGACAAGTACTCTCCCCGTGAGTCTCGACAACTGGACTACATTTCGCAGTTTACTTCAGATATTCAACACATCTCTGGAGCAAACAATGTAGTTGCAGACGCTTTATCTCGCATAACTTCCTTGAACAGTTTCCAAGGAATCGACCTTCTTAAACTCGCCGAGCTTCAAAAAGAAGACAGTGATCTTCAGCACGAGTTGTCGTCCACAACACTTAAACTACGCATCAAACAGATGGGAACGGGTAAGGAAACCTTACTTTGTGACACATCTACGGGTAGGGATCGCCCAATCGTGCCGAAACATTATCGACGCAATGTCTTCAACACATTGCACAAACTTTCACATCCAGGTGTTCGTGCAACCATCAAGCTTATTGCAGAAAGGTTTTGCTGGCCTGGAATGAATAAAGACGTGAGGGAGTGGGCACGCTCCTGTGTAAGCTGCCAAAAATCTAAGGTTATCAGACACAATAAATGTCCCTTAGGCTCTTTTAAAACTCCCGATGCTCGTTTCGACCATGTTCATCTGGATTTGGTAGGACCTTTACCAGATTCAAATGGATACTCTTATCTCTTAACCTGCGTAGACCGTTTCACTCGATGGCCAGAAGCAGTACCTATCAAGGACATCACTGCTGAAACAGTGGCCCGCACCTTCGTCGAACGATGGGTAGCAAACTTTGGCTGCCCTTCAACCATTACTACAGACCGCGGACGTCAGTTTGAATCCGATCTTTTCCGTCGTCTGACCACTCTTTTAGGAATCACTCGCTTCAGAACGACCGCCTACCATCCACAAGCAAACGGGTTGGTAGAACGTTTTCACCGACAACTGAAAGCTTCGCTATCAGCTGCAAACGTTTCACAGTGGACCGACGCTCTTCCACTCGTCTTACTAGGTATTCGCAATGCAGTGAAAGCTGACATTGGATACACTGCGGCTCAACTCGTTTATGGAACGACACTTCGACTTCCAGGAGAATTCGTGGATCCTTCATCCTCTTCAGTGAACATGGATCTAACCTCCTACACGAACAGGCTTACAAACGCAATGCGTTCAGTTAAACCTGCTTCCACTCGACCTCAATCAACTGATGTTTTCGTTCAACCTGACTTACGATATAGTACACACGTTTTCGTTCGTCGAGACTCGCATCGACGACCCTTCGAATCAGCATACGAAGGACCCTTCAAAGTTCTTCAACGTGAATCTAAGTACTATATAGTCGATAAGAACGGAACCAACGATAGCATCAGCATCGATCGCTTAAAAGCAGCGTATTTAGAAGGAAATCCTATCTACGTGGATTTTCCTTCGGTACAATCGAACGACACGACTCCGACACTTATAATACCTCATCCGACAACCAACACACACGATGATACTTCGACAGTATCCGAAAATAAACTTAAAACGACGCGTTCTGGAAGAAGGGTGAGATTTCCAGAACATCTAAACGACTATTGCACGTAAGGCACTTCTCGACATTTTATATTATTTTTTAAAAAAAAAAACAATTTTAATATGCTTATATATTTTTATTTCTATTTAAAAAAAAAACAAAACAAAAAAACAATTTTTTTAACGCTATTACGTGTTCATGAGTTTATTTTCCATTTTTTTTTCCGCCGACATTGTGCTTTTACGCACATACGAGTGTATTTTCGACATGCACTTACATTTTTTTTCTTTTCCAGGACGGCTGGAAAAGAACGATGACGTGTATGAAAATCCGAAATTTTCCAAGTACATTTTCTTTTTTTACTATGTTGTACCTCCGTCCCATATAGTAAGGAAAGACGACCAGAAGCTGCTAAATTTAGTAAGCTATCAGAAGAGTGTTTACCAACGACAAACTCGTTGGGTTTAAACTTCTGGCTGGCCACGTCTTAGGGTCGTCACTGCCCCACTAGGGGGGGAGTGATCTGTAGCGGTAAATAAATCCCCAAAATAAATAGCACTAAGTTTTCGACATTGGATGCT